ACACACATATATTATGTAAACAAAAACTTTTATTCTGGATGCGATTAATCGCGATTAATCGTTTGACAGCACTAAATTAATATATTTAATATATAAACTTATCATATTTTTCTTAAATATATACATGCATGTGTGCATATTTATATATACATAATAAATATACACAGTACACACACATATATTATGTAAACAAAAACTTTTATTCTGGATGCGATTAATTGCGATTAATCGTTTGACAGCACTAAAAAAACAAAACAAAAACAAACAAAAAACAGAAATGTAATTTTTCTTATCGCAAAGAAAATATAAATGGATTTGGTTTTTAGTTATTGTAAATAAATTCAAATCACCAATGTATAAATAAAACCTCTTTTCATAAGTATCTTCTTACTAACTAAAATGAATAAAGTTTTATTAAGGTCTGAATGAAAGTAAAAATGATATTACATGCAATGTATTACTTAATATGAATATGGCTAAAGCATCCAGTCCTGATGTACCGAGCTGTGACAATCACTCATGTCCTGATAAACGAGGCATCATGGGAGCTAAGTGACAGATGCAGACTTTATTGAGTCACTGACACACAGCAGTGAACTCTATGAATAATTCTTATAATTTCTAATTTGCAGCAAATAACTGTGATATGAAATATATATGTTTATGACATAAAGAGGCGCTGAGATATTCATATTTAATTCAAATCAACGTGACTGTGCCAATAACAAGTGGAAGTCGCAAACTTTGTGGCATAAATTAAATGTAATTATTTCGATACTTTATTTCACAGCACTGATATACACATACTGTTCAAAAGTTTGGGGTCAGTCTGATGTTTTTGACCTCTCGTCTGTGCCATTTAATCAGTCAAAAATACAGTGTAACAGTATTGTGAAATATTATTATCATTTAAAATAGCTGTTTTCTGTGTGAATATTTTGTAATTTATTCCTGTGATCAAAGCTGAATTTTCAGCATCATTACTCCAGTCTTCAGTGTCACACGATCCTTAAGAAACATTTCTGATCAATATCAATGTTAAAAGCTGTTGTGCTGCTTAATATTTTTTTGGGAAACGGTGATCATTTTATTTTTCAGGATTCTTTGATGAGAGGAAAGTTCAAAAGAACAGCATTTATTTGAAATAGAAATCTGTAGTGACATTATAAAACTCTT